CCAGTAGCCAGAGATGAGTACGGAAAGAAAATTACAGACGTGGGCCCAGATGCGTTTATGATGGTGCAGATCACGGAGCTTGAACAGCTAGCGCGCGAAGTCAGCCCGTATGCGTACCGGCTTGTGAAGAGCAGTATTGGACGTCTATGGATCGCAAGACAAAGTTACGGCGTGGAGGAAATACATTCCAGCCTGTTTGTCCTGACCGGAGGTGGCCACACCAGTACATGCTATCATGTCGACACTACGGTAAGCTTGTCACCCGTTCTGGCCCGTGTAAACCCTAACGTACGTCGCTGTTATTGCGTGCCTTTAGAGATATCACTGCTCATGTGTATTCATGAAGACGATGTTGCGTCCATGCCGGCACGTCATGTATTGGCGTCTTTTACGTGGAAAACAGGCAATTCCTATTCGGTACATTGCACCCCGTTGGAGGTTGTCGTGCAAGCTGAATCAACCTGCGCCAGAAGAAGACGTACCAGACAAAACAGTTGCGTGCACAACCTTCCAAGTCCGTGACTCTGCTATGACAGCAAGGCGCCATCACGTTTTAAATGTACAAGCACGCTCTCGAGTGTGGAAAGAGTATTGCAGACATTATGAGCAGGAACGGAACGTTTGTATTTGGAGAAATGATGAACGCCTTGGAGAAATTTGAAGACATTATCAAGGACGGTGTTGCACCATTTGTTGGTCGAGAAGGTGAATGGGTAGACCCGCTTTCACAGCTATCGTCGCTGACATTTTCGCCTACGTTAAATACCAATGCTGTTGAACCAAAGGATGCTGTGATGAAAAGCGATACGGAAGATGAAGAAAAAAACAAGAACACTTCCACAGCGAACTCGGACGATGACGAACCTCCGACTCAACAGAGCGCACCTCTAGCTACAATGCAATGTGCTACAGCTACAATGCAAGAGCCTACAGTTACACCGTGTGTGACTAGAGGTACTTCCCACGTGACTTTGACCCCTCCTGCTACACAAGAACCACTGTAACTAGAGGCAATTCCTGTGTGACTTTAACCACCCCAGAGGTGGATGCAGCAAGTATGTCTGATTCAAACAAAATCCAAGCCAGTCCAAGCGCCAGCACATTAGCAGCAGTTCGTCAGAATCCTCGCAGTCTGGGTCATTTGTGATAACAAAGAGCGCAAAAAGTCGGGGACGTCCCCAAGTCAGAAAGAAGCAAGGAAAAGCAGAAAAGAAGCAGAGGATCGAGAATAGCAAGAAGAAGGCTTCCAAGTTGGTACAAGGGACGCTGGCACCAGTTCCAAGCGTACGGAACATTGCTAAACTGTTGGACAACAACTACACCTATGAAGACGCCAAGAGGGTGCTACCCAATCTCACTATTCGAGCTGTTCCAAAGACCAAGAAGGCGAATGCTGGTATTTATCTTGAGGATGAGTGCATCTGTGACGTCAGATTAGTGTTTCCAAAACAATTTGTGGAAAAATGCCTGGCTGCGGTCGCAGCGTTTCGAAAAGGCTTGATTGAAACTGTCGATGACGACACTATTGGTGTAAGGGTTCCTCGCTTTGGGATATTCCAATACCAGGACATTGTCGCGATGGACCGATGGCACGCCTCCATGCAGTATTTATCTGCCACTGAAGATGCGATTACTTGGGCTGTCAACACTAGCGTCAAGCGCTTGTCTCTACCGGTAAAGATTGATGACGGAGTCAGCAGCGATCCGACAGAACGGGAAGTTATTATCAGGCGGATTCTTCTGAAGGGTGGCCGCGAGACTTCGTTCGGTAGTGTGCCCTATAACAGACTACTAACGCTTCGAGAAAATATGTGGATGGATGATTCATGCATGGGGCATGGGATTGCTCTACTCCAACGAGAACACCCGGATGTTGGCATCGTTAACCCGATCTTCAATCGTTTTTACGATAAAGACGCCCGGCTCAGGGCTATTAATGCAGGCAAGCCTTTCAAGAAAACGAACCAGATCATTCTGTTGCCGCTACACATAGACAACAACCACTGGTGTGGAGCAATTTTCGATTATCGCAGCGAACGTCGAGGAGTCCTGGTGTTCGACCCCTTGCAAGACCCCAAGTCAAAATATTACGCCAAATGCGAAGAACTACTGAAATACGTGTTTTTAGAAGGTGAAGACAGCTCCATACCCTTGCCGATTCAGAGAGTCACGAATGTACGCCAGCCGGACTTCTCAAGCTGTGGAGCAGCTGTTTTACTATTCTTTGAGTGCTACCTCACCGGCATCGATATGCCGGAAAAGCTCAGCCATGCCTCAATGCGTTTTTTCAGGCTTCGGTACATGTTAAAGTGCCTGCAGTAGGCGAGTTAGGAAGTCGATAACATGGAGATAATGTACCCCTGTAGTTCGCATTGTGATGCCTCTGTCTGTTGATTCCAATGTGTGCGTGCTGCGGTGATACTGTTGAGCTGCGTAAAGTGAAAGATACTGGTCATGGTCTGCTCTACTCTAGCAGCACTCGTCAGGCAAATTCTCACTAAGTGCTTCGTACCTTCGGGTGACATTCATGCATTCCAGTTACATTACAGCAACACTTCATGCTACCAGTCGCGTGACTGGCTGTCGTCGCAAGCATCGATATCTCTAAAAATGATGAATTTTTTAATCTGTTAGCATTAAATTACCGTAATATATTTTCGCGTAGTACCTTTAGTACGTACATGTATCTCGGGACCAATTAACACGAAGTGGCTCGAGTCACTCACACAATGTAACCCTAACATTCGCTTAAGTACGAGCTACTCGGTACCTCTAACATTGATCATAAATATTAAAGACAACATATTCTGAAACCGATTTCCAGAATTTGAAGCAACCAAATGGAATTATTATTTATCGTTGCAATACCTGGTCCAGCAGCAGTGTCTCCACCATCTCACTAAGCGCCATAATATTGGTGGACAGCGCGCTCACTAAGAAGTTAATCACAGCCATGGTCTTGGGGTCATCTTTCAGCTTTGGGTCCAAAAAGTACGGAGTGATCACATAGCAAGTTGACACTCGCGTAGCAGAGCCATTACTGCGCCCTCGAGTCCGTTCGGAGCTCCAGAATTCAGGCTCGATCAGCACATAATTCTGCTCTAAAAGGTAGACGCCGCTGACGCGTTCGTTAGCAAACCCAAACGGCTCCACGTATGCATCCCACACGAACACAATACGTTTATCTTCAACATGACGCTGTGAGATCTGCTGAGAATAAGCTGTAGCAGATACATTGGTCTTGAAGTCGCTCATCTCAAGACCAAAGCTCTCGGTGATCTCGTTCGCTGCGATATCTTGAAATCGCTGACCTCTATAGTTGTGCCAGTTCTCCCACCACGCATCTCCCGTCGAGCGCATACCGAAAGGCATAGTTCTTCGGTCGTAAAACTTCCGTTCTATGCCTTTCAGTTTCTTTCCTTCATCCAGTAGCCCATTGTGTCTTACCAAATCCATTGGAACAGGGCGTGTAGTTTCAAAAACGCTCTTCAACTGGGTGTAGCACACTTTCACTCCAGCCGCGAGATCCTAAAAGATCATAGCGGCCATGCGTTCAATGTACCCATCAGGAATATCAGTCCGTCGTGTCTGTTTCGTTGCTTGAGGCTCCGTGTCATTTGCCGGAACATGTCGTTTGTGTAGCATCTTCTCCAAGCTCTTGACGAGTTGCTTCTCGTTCTCGTACTGCATCTTCAGCTTCATATTCTCCCGTTCCGCCTCCAGCCTTCTGTTAAGTTGTCTCGAGCATATCTCCTGCCACACAGGGGGAACTCCGCTATCGTAGCTCGCAGTTTCAAACCGCTTTGGTCTCTTGCTTCGGACGGTCTGTAGACACTGCAGCGTGAGCTCTAATTCTGCCACCTGCTCCTTCAGTTCGATAAGCTGAAAGCGACGTTCGTCACGAGCTTTGTTCGGGTTGATTTTCTTTCTCTTTTTCTTGTGTTGCAATGGAGTCTCAGCATGGGCAGCGACAGCTGTGTCTTCACCGTCACAGCCTTCGTCGCCGCCGTCTATTAAATCCCACGGCAAGTCAGGTGACCAGTCCGCAAAAGACGAAGGGAACTGGGGCAATTGCTGCTCGTTTGAAGCCGCTGATGCTTCGTCCAGCAGCCAACGCCTCCTCCAGCTCCGACAGTCCGCACGTTCTACGGTTTAACGACGTTTGATTGGCTCGCTGGATTTGTGTAACAAACATAGTTATCGACCACCGAGACTGCTCACATCACGCTGTGACGAGGATGAACTCTGCGTCACTGGACGAGACGCTAGATTTCCTCCATGAGGAGCTACCGGTACAACAACCTAATACTGTTGTAGACGGCGACACTGGAGGCTCACCGTCGCTTGGTTCTGATGTATGGGACCCGGAGGAGCTTCTAACGTCGATTGACAACGAAATCGTAGACTTTCGCGCCGAGTCGACGGATTCGGTGACTGTGACTTCGTCTCAATCCGGAAATTCAGCGAGTCAAGACGAACAGAGCGCCACGAAACCAGTCAAACCAAAGCGGAAGAGAAAGAAGCAACTGAACTCGAACAGAGCTCGTGATGAGCGTCGATATGAGGTGGTGCGACTGCGGAGAGAAGCGGAAGACCTGGAGCTCACGTTGCAGCAACTCAAGGAAATTAGAAGCCAACAGGAACATAGTACAGATACACAGCAGAGTCGGTATGAAGAGGAAGACACAGGTGAATTCCCTGCTGTTTGGCAAGACATCTGCGCTCGTCAGCTTAACCGACGACTGAAAGCGGAACAGGAAAATGCGAAGCTGAGTAGACGTTGGGATGAGGAGAAGAGAGTAGTCAAAAGCATCGAGAATATGCTCTTCAAACGCATGGTTCTCACTGGCAAGGCCCATCCAGGAGCGAGTAAACACACGCGACGCACCAACCTGCCTGCGGAATACATCAAGCGAGTCGCTTGAGCGGCATCACATGCTCCAAGTCAATACTAGTTTAAGCTTCTTCGGCAATCGTTTTTGTTTCGAAGTGGTGTCTCAGTGGAGGACACAATGCGAGGCCCTGCTGCCCGCATTCGCACATTGCTGAATGTTATGAAAGTTACTGGCGGGAAGTATTTTGAGCTTGGTCGTAATGTTGCTTTGGATGAAGCGAGCGTTGTCTGTAGAAGTCGATTCGGACGCCACCTTATCGTTTACAACCCACGTAAACCCGGTGGAAAGTACCACTTCAAGTTGTACATGATGTGCTGCGCAACGTCATGGGTCGCTGTGAATTTCAGACTACACTACGAAAGGATTCTCGAAGATCGTTTGCAAGGCGTGGTAAATGTCCCCGACTGAAGCTCTCCGCGAAGAGCTTTCACATGGAGCTGCAATCCGCCAGAACGTTCTTGAAGTTGTTCGACCAATCTACGATTCTAAATGGATTGTACATACTGACAATTATTACACGTCAGCACAGCTCCTGCAAGCTTTAAAGCTCAAAGGGCTATTTGGTCGTGGTACAGTACGGGGCTCAAGCAAGCACGTTATGCTGGAAAAGGGTGATTGTACAAGAGGGGAGTACCGCCAAGGGGTTTCCATTGACCACAATATGCTTGGGGCTTCGTGGTGCGACGAAAGTATTGTTAGCATAGTCTCAAATGCGGATGCGTCCGAGTCAAACACTGTCCAACGTCGCGTGTCCAACGAGCATCAACAATTCGAGGCACCGGATTGTGTGAAGAACTATAACACCCACATGCAGGGTGCTGACCGGCTAGACCAGCTCGGTGCACGCTTCTCTATTGCCGACGGCCACTCGTTTAAAAAATGGCACAAGAAGCTCGCTATGGCTTTAGTTGATGTTGCTCGATGTAACGCGTACCTTACCCGCCGAATGGTGTATACCCCAGTAAATACCCGGGACCCTCACCGTTCTTTCATGCTGGAATTGTCTTCTGAATTGATTTCCGGGAAGTGGTCCAACGCACCTAGCGAAGGTAAGATTTTATACTCAAGCCGCAACATGGCTACGTTAGAATCACAGGTACCGGCTCCAATTAGTCCCGCTTACACTGTTAGCACTTCATTCGAGAGCCCAAAGAAGACGTGCTCTGCAGCTGCATCAAAACAGTTTTACGATGGAAAAAACCGCAAGCGTCGCCAGTGTATTGTGTGCAGATGGGAAGAAAGATATCCCACTGAAGTCACGGACTACTGCGTCATCCATGGTGTGTGTGTGCCTTTGCAAGGCATATTTTGATTCACTACCCGCTCCATACATGTGTCCCCAAGCCACGTGGACGTGTTGGGAAAAATACCATCAGTACTACGCACACAAAAATTTGTTTTCGAGTAAGGGGAAGCTACGCAAGACGTCTCAGCTATTCAAGCTAAAAGCAAGTATAAATCAGGTGGGTGAGATCTACGGTAATGACAATCGATCGGTAGTCAGACAAGTTATTCTTTAGCGGGTTGAACACGCTGCCTAAGTTATATGTTGATTTGTATTTCTGTATCCGGTCTCTCCAGTGTTCGTGACTGTGATGATTTCACAAAATGTCAAAGATAGTAGTTGAATATTCTACTACACTCAGTCAATCTCTTGCCAATCAAACGCGGTTTGCCAGACGTACATAAAGATAGATACCGAGTACTATAGATCTGTCGAGTTACTGAGAACTTAACTGCCGAAGATCTTTTTCACAGTTATATGCATCGACACTTGAATCATTTCCACGATCTGCTTAAACCACTTCCGTACCGATAAGCGCTATAGTCTTAGAGTCGTCGGTGGCGTCATATACGCGTAGAATCCCTGTCATGATGACTTCTCCTTTGATACCCAGCGTAGCGTGTGGATTAGCTAACAAAGCTAGCACCCAGATGCGAAGCTCACTCTAAGCTCACTCTGAAATAACGTACATGCTAACGCTGTCAGCAGTAGCTCCCTTCATCTGCACAGTGGCAATAAACGTGTAAATAACTCAAATAAAGTAAGCAAAACTGCATGTGTCTGTTGTATGATGCATCCAAATGATTGTTTCAGTTGACCAGTGTAATTAATTTGATTAAACTATAGATATTTTACACTTGCATAATGTATTGGCACATTATCCCTTTGGTCTTACCAAACGCAGTCATGATCACCGATTTCTCCAACGAAGCCGATAAGCTCTTAATGCAGTACGCCTTCAAATATGCGCAGCAAAACCGACGTGTCGTGTAGGCCGATCTTGCGCGAAAGATGCAACGGCGTTTGCGAGTCTCCAAGAGCCCGAAGACGCTAGAAACTCGACTTCGAACACTAAAGCGCGCTTACGGCAACGACCTATCTCGTTTTCCTCCATGTTTTTTTAAAGTGACAATGGCTCGTTCACACTCCACTAACTACGAGAAGTCTCGGACGGCAAGTTACCCCGTGTTAGACTTTCAAGCTACTGTACGTCTACTTCAGTCGGTATTTGGATCGGTCACAAAAGCTGATATTCGTCAGAGATCTGGTGTACTACATGAAAATGTTGGCGAGTTCCTACCAGAAGCATTATTCAGCGTAATAAGGACTATTGGACCAATCGCTGCGGAAGATGTATTTCTCGATATTGGCTGTGGAATTGGAAACGTCGTTGCTCAATCTGCACTTCGAACAGCCGCCAAAAGCTGCATTGGTATCGAGATTCGTCGCCAGCTCTTTCTAATAGGCAACCAGCTCGTCCAGAGATACTCAAACGTGCAACCGTTGCTCAAGAAAGTTTTGTTATTCCAGGGAGATGCGAAAGAGGCATCATTATCATTGCTACAGCCTTTTTGCAATGCGTCTATTATGTACCTCAAAAGTTTCTTGTTTGCCAACGATGTCAAACTTCTCGTGCTGGACGAGTTATACGCGCTTTCTCGTGCTCGTATCGTTGTTTCTACTGAGACGTTCTGCCCAAGGCATCGTATACCATGCAGGAACAGCTTTTGTGCAAAATGGCAACTACATCAAGTTATTAAAGGTCAAGCAGGTTGGACGATTAAGCCTGTAAGCATCTACATTTACAAACGAGCGGGCACAAAAAAAATAAAACGTATTCGCCACTTTTTTATAAGGAAGACTTCAGCCTGGGTATTAAGTAGCCGGGCTAGAATTATAGATCTGCGATCGAGCGCACTGTGGTCTCCAAATCGAGCGTCAGTAGTTTTCGGGACGCGTGGCCCCTAAGAATCAAGAAGGTCCCGCGTGCTCGCCCTTCTGGATACCAAAAGCCTCGCTGGATTTGCAGAACCTATAGCTACGCTCGTGCTCATGGCATTCAAAACGCGTTTGAACACATGCTTGTAATAAGGTGTCGAATTTTCTGTACTAATCCTGTCCTAACTGTCCTACAAAATCCTAAAATACGTCGTAAATTACTGGAATAGATTGCAAAATGTATCCTAAAAAGGTTCTAAATCCGGGAAAACATTGCAATCCTAATACTGTCCAAAATTAAAAAACGGTATTTTTGTCGGAAATTTAGGACATATCCTAAAACCTATTTTGAGTCGAACTTGGGATTGAGGTTTTTAAAACGTTAACGGGAACCAATCATGCAGAAACACATAGCTGTTTTAATTTTTATTGTCACTTGACAGCTTTGTCCATGGAGCACAAGAACTACCGCTTCTGCAAGAAGCGCACCGTCCCGGAGACAGGAACAACCTATTTCAGCTGCGTGAAGTTCCGGACTGGGTGTCCAGCACGTCTTGTAGTCAAGAAGGGGGGCACTATCATCGAAAAAAATATTCACCGCTGCGACCAAGAAATTTTAGAAGAAGTCGCAGACGTACGCCACGACATGTCTTTGGAGCTGCAAGATCGCGCCATTAAAGACTTCGCTGTTGCACCTGGTGTTCTGTGGCAGCGCGTCTTTGATAGTTTCCGTACCAAGCATCACCCGTCAACTATCTACGGTATTGCGCGTCCGAGTGGTGTTACGATCATCAAAACCGTACGCCAAGGTGCCACCGGTGGCGACATTTTCCGTGCAATTGAGGCTGCACCGGTGCGAAGCATTAGCGACTCAGACCCGCGCCCGTTCCTACAATTCAGCATGGCTCGCCCCACCACCGCCGGCATACAGCGTATGCTCTGCTTTGGGCATCCGGACTTACTGCGAATTCTACGTACCCTCAGCTGACCCTTTTTATTGATGGTACCTTTTCGGTGGTGCCAAAAGGTTTCTCGCAGTGCCTGATTGCTATGGTCTACGATCCTAGTGTCGACATATACGTGCCACTACTCTACGTACTCGTCAATTCGAAAAGCCAAGAAACGTATTGGCGAGTACTAGAGCAGCTCATCATGGCGTCCGACCGCCAGCTGGAGCCTCGTGATGTTACCTGTGACTTTGAGCTTGCGCTCATTAACGCTGTGATTGAGCAGTTCCCTGCAGCCAACATTGTTGGCTGCCTCTTCCACTGGAAGCAGGCTCTACGTAGGAAGATGATAGAACTGAAGATTCCCAAGGAACAGATCGCAGACGCCATGAAGTCGGGAAAACTGGACGTGCTTACTTCATTCCTGCCGAAGAAGTGCTGGACAAGGTACGTAATTTTTGTATTTTACTTACGGAAAATATTACTAAAATAAAATTAATTTTTTTGGCAGGGACTACGGTATGTTCGAAGCATCATCGATGTGACCGCAGCAAAGACTAAATGGAACGCTTTCTGGAAGTATTTTGTGCGAACGTGGACAAAGAGGTTCGACACGTCGCTGTGGAACGTGAGCCAGATGCGGCGCAACAATGTGAGCATGATAAATCGGACTAATAACCCGCTGGAGAAGTACAATCGCGATTTTGCTGCTCGCATTGGTGCGCCACATCCAAGTATTCTCGTCTTCATTGAAGCTGCAAAGGCAGAGGCACATTCCTACATAAAACTACTGGACGACATCAAGCATGGTCGACAGAGCGCTCCTGCTCATGCGCGGTCTGTGGACGCTGAAGGCCCCGGGGAATACATGGCGTTTGAGTAGCATTCTGCATTCTGTAAGCCATAAGATATCTCTCGTTGGCATGGGTAGTGTAGCCTTACAACTTTCGTATTTGTCCTAACTGTCCTAACTGTCCTAACTGTTCTAACGATCCTATAACCCATGCCGAAGTTTTGTGCCAATACCGTAATTTATGACAGTAGGTATTAGGACAAGTTAGGACGTTTAGGACGCTTTTAGTACGGAAAAACTTCTTCCGCTTGTACAGCCATACGTAGCTAAAGCGCGTAGCGTTGTCGCCCTTCTTCACATTCCAGTCGGTCTGCTCAAATATTGGTATCGTAAGAAATATATCAGCACTATCCAGTGACGAACTATCCTGAATAATAATTGCCAATCCCAACTCCTACCTCTCTCAGTTGAAGACCGAATAATAGTCGATCTGTATGTCGACCTAATACAATGTACTTATAACGATTCATTTTAAATGGCCAACAGTTGATGTAGTCGCGCTCGAATTCTTTTAAGGTAGCAGTCTCGTCCATCCTATCCGCACCGTGGCAGGCTTTGCATGAAAATCTAGCAAAACGAGCATTTTAGCATGCATCAACACGAGATCGTAACAAAATTCTCACCAAAGCGTTGCCGACAAGTGTTTCCGCATCAATACTGAACGAGCTGTCACGCAATTTGGCTGCAAGTAGCATTTCATCCAGGTCGACTTCGTCATAGCGCTAGATTTTAACCGTATAGTAGCTAAATTAGCAAAATGCGTACCACTTAGAAGCACGAAGGCACCTCGGATACAATTACTGCTTGCAAGAATTAGTGCTCAATATAAATGTCGTACCTAAGCACAATTAAGCGCCAACACCCTTACATACAAGTGATCGCACAGAAGGGCTGACGGAAAAACTGGCTTGGCGCTCGAGGATACGGTGCTTGTATGGCACTTGGTGCTAATGGTGAGAGTATTGCATTTGTTCTCACACTCTTCATCTATCGAAGTGCAAAAAACCACGCCACAACACAGAGCACTGCATTAGTACTATTAGATCCCGGCACGTCGCACAAAGCAACTCACCTGTGCGTCCTAAGGACACCAAGACGCTCTTGCACTACTAAACAACCACGCCACAACACAGAGCACTGCATTAGTACTATTAGGGCTCGGCACATCGCACATACCAGCTCACCTGTGCGTCCTAAGGACGCCAAGACGCCCTCGCACTAATAAATCATAACACAGATCCCCATGGCAGTACATGATAGCATATGGGCCCGGCACATCGCACATACCAGCTCACCTGTGCGTCCTAAGGACGCCAAGACGCTCCCGTACTACTAAAACATAACAGATCTCCATGTCAGTATAGGATACCATGTTAGCCCTCGAACATCGCACAGCACAGCCCATCTGTGCGCCCTAAGCACTGGCACCAATGCTCGTTCGCGCCAAAACTTGTGCGCCCCACGCTGCTCGTTACTTTTGTAGGAATGTGAAAATTTTACAAAAATATTTAACGTCGCTTGATTTATAATTTTTTGGCCAAGTTAAATGCCACTAATGTGAATATGATTGGTCAAAATATACGAAATGGGGCAGAATGCCCTGTTTGGCACGCCGTTTTCACACCCCGTAATGATAAATTTGTCAGAGAGGGCATTTTGCCCCCTTGACCGCGAAAGGGTTAATGTCATTTTCATGTTAAAGTACTGATCGCAATATTGAATAAAACGAACAGCCTGTCTTAGTATTTGCAGAGAGACAACGTTGATATCGTATCGGCTGTTAACATGGTTAAATTATTGCGTAAAGAGCTGTAAAATGTGCGTGACAAGAACAATACGAGTACAGAGCCCGACCGTACTGAGGCTGTGTGGAATTCGGCAGTTAGTTTTTGAAAGAAGTTTCAAGTGAAAGATCTTCCTATTATCCCAAAAAGCACATTATTGTGGGAAAGGAGAGGAATTAGAAGTCGGGGTCGTGGACGACCAGGTATTTCAGGTGCAGATACCTGCCGCGGCTCGAATTTCCCTACGCAAGAATATCACTACCAGAACGGTGTTTTGTGGCTGTCGTTAAAGATATTTTCTCTGAATTGGAATCTTGCTTCAATGACGAAGCTTTGAGTTTATTGAAATTAAGTGGTTCTCTGTCCCCAAGGCGAAAGTTTTCGAGCTGTAATGTCGAAAATGTCGTTCTATTGGCTACAACGTTTTATCACGGCGATGGCAAAGCATAATTAGAAGACTTGAGAGAGGAAGTGGGATCTACTTGCTTGAACAAAGTCACGTGCTTATTAAGCCAGTTGACCCAGATTCAACCGCAGAGGATGACAAGAAAGACGAGTGCTTCACCAGTATGTCAACGTGCTACGTCATTACACCGCATTTCTTGGATCCAAAGCTGAAGAATGACCCGAAGACAAAAACACTTCTTGAATTCCTCGTCAGTGCGCTGTCTGCCAATATCAGAAAACGCAACGAGTCAGTCGAGAATTTGCTGCTGGACCAAGCTTTACAAAGGCATCACTGCAGCCTGTAATGTATGTAGCTATTTCGGTGGTCGACATTGTGTACTAAACACCAAAATCATATTTTAAACCGATTAGGGCCTGGTCGGGGGATCGTCTCAAAATGAGACGAGTAAATCACCAGTCTCACTTTGGAGACGATCGTCTTAGTGGCACAGAATTGCAATAGTGACTCACATGGACTGGGGCGAATGCGTGGCGGCTACTGTCGTAGCAGCGGTCACTTCAGCGGCAGGAGCTGTTGCCGCGTGTGCTGACGCCGCTGCATGCACTCTTCCCAAGCCTCACGATAATATTCTGACGCTAACAGGTCTCGAATTCAGCGCCATGCTTTCTGACCCACGCTATGACGAGTGGTTTCGGCTGAATCTGAGATGTGGCCAGGATTCATTTGTACGGTTGTGTGATGTTTTGCGTGGCGAGCTACAAGAGTTCGAGCTTGACCGCTTCGTCAAAGATCATTCATTCGAAGAAAAAGTGGCGTGCCTACTCTACTTTCTTGGCTCGCAGGGTGGCTACCGTGAAGCAGCTGCAGCTTTCGCAATTTCGAAGTCGTGGGCTATTGATGTGATTGGAGTTGATCTTCGGGTTTTGAGAAGGTCGCTACGTAAGTTCGTTCATTTTCCTTGTCGGCCAGAACACTGGACAGGAATTGAGAGCGCCTTTAAAGCTAAAGGAGGGATACCGGGCGTAGTAGGAGCTATCGACGGTTCTTTGCTGGAGATTAACCGACCAGACGACTTCGAGGGGTACTACTGCAGAAAGATGTTTCCAGCACTAAATCTACAGGCTGTTGTAAGTGCTAAAATGCGGTTTATGAGTGTGGAGGTTCGTCCAGGCTAGTGGTCCGACCAGAAAACGTGGAGAGCATCCGTACTGGGCAAACATAGCGAGCTATATCTTCCTGCAGGAGCACACTTTTTGGGGGATGCTGGTTACGCAATATGCCCAGCTATAATGACGCCTTATCTGGAAAATGACGGAGCTGGTTTAACACGTAAGCAGCTACGCTACAACTATCTGCATTCTAGGACAAGAATGGCTGTTGAATGTGCTTTTGGTCTTTGGAAAGGCCGATTCCGCATCGTGAATTGCTGCCTCAACACGAAAGCAGTTGAAAAAGCGGTTGATATTATCGCCGCTACAATGGTGCTCCACAACATTTTACTCGACATCAAGGACGGCACATCTTTCGAGGAAGAAGAGATAAGTAATATCAATATCGATGAAGACAACTCTGCATCCTCTACTGCAACGGATGCAACAGCGAGATTTCTAAGAGAAGTTGGTTCAAGAAAACGTGAATCGTTGTTGGATTTCACAGAGGCTTTTGAGTTAGATAGCTAACTAGGGTAGCTAACGACTACGTTGAAGCAAGTTTAATAACTCACTGATATGACCGTTTTGTATGGACAGTTGCTCGCTTTGAGCCTGAAGTTGCTTGAGTAATTGCTCGTTCTGAGCATGGGCACGCTCGCTCTGCTCCCGAAGCAGCTCCGTTTGCTTCTGCACCATAACGGTAAGGCTTTCGCTCCCTTCGTTCCGCACGGATGCAAGCCCCTTTCCTATTGCCTCCAATCCCTCACTAAACCCTTTGGCAACAGCGCTCAAGCCAGCTTCGACACACTCACCCTGCGTTCGCACACGCTTCACACGCTTGCTTGAGCTTGCAGAACATGCTTCTGACAAGGTGCAACGCTCATGCCTTTCGGAAGAGGCTGAATCCGACGTCATCGAGGCGTCGCCACTTGCAGCTTCACAGACTGTCAAGATTATGTCTGAATCTTCCGTGCTTAAATAAGGGCGGTTGTTCATCCCAGTCGCATCTCTCCAGTAGTCCTTCATGATAGTGTAGTGCTTTGGGTGCCTCACTGGTCCACCGTTGCCTGTGCGTCCTTCTGCCTCGCGCGCCGACGCCCACTTCGATTTCATGTTCTGCATCTGTATCAATACAACCGGTTTAGCAAGCTTTGGGTATCCCTAGTACTCCAGTGGACGTTACCTTAGCTTGGCACTGCTGATCCGTGAGTACCTTCCCTTGATTTACAGAGAGCGTTGAAGCAAGAAGTGCCCATGCATACTTGATGCGCTTCGTGTCTCTCGTATTCTTAAAACGATTCACCAGTCCCTTGTAGCGAAGACGAAATAGCTCTTCCACGTCTTCGTCGCTCCAAGACGCAGTCGTCTTGGTAGCTTGGGCATCTCGCTCTCTGGGAAGCGCGGCCGTTCCCCCCTCGGAGCCGCTGATGTCTGCATCCACACCGCTCGTGGTTTGCTCTCGAATGCTATCGACAGCAGCTTGGTCGCTGCAGCCAGCAGCCTCACCCAAAGCGATGCGTGTGGTCTGGGTTTGCTCCATTTAGTATCGAGTTCTCGAAGTGTGAAGTGTACACAACATTTTCAAAACCAAGACGATCGGCGAATCAACCGACCGGGTCGGCTCAGGGTTAGGCTGCAGAAGACGATCGAAACCGAGACGATCGTTACCCGACCAGGCCCTTACGAACAACCGAACAGTTAATAATATGGCAAACGAATTACCGCTGGAGGAGTTGTTAGCCTTCGTCGACGAGACACTGGAATACACTGCTGACTATGCCGATACACCTCCATCATTGGAGGGCCGCAGTCTTCTCTTCGACACCCTGTACCATGAAGCTAGAGACGACAGTTCGTTGGTGGGACAATTGAGACTTGACCAGACCGTCACCGCTTTCGATGAGAGAGACATACGAGACACCGCAACGAAGAAGAAGAGGTTCAACAAGAACAAAGCTAGAGACGAACGTCGCTTCATCTTGATTCAGCTTCGTGACGAGGTCGAAAAACTGACATTTACGCTCAAACAACTCCAGAATTTACGCGACAAGCAACACCAGACTACGGAACACACACGCCAGGATGTAGAGCAACGTAGTGAAGTACCGGCAGTATGGCAGGATATCTGTGCTCGCCAATTGCAACGAAGACTGACAGCCGAACGCGAGAACTCTCGATTAAAGCAGGAGCTTGAGCGGGAGAAAGAACTGGTCATTAGTGTCCAGAAGCTGCTGTACAAGCGGGGGATGCCCCAAGGAGACAGGGCCCGAAGCTGACAAACAGACAAGGCGTACCAACATCCCTCCCGGGTATGCTGAACGCATGGCTGCGTTCATCTTTGACGAACTTGCCGCTGGCGTTGATACCTTGTACCAAGAGGTGTCAGGTACGCTGGAAGCAGGTGATTCTTTTACGACAGTTCAAAGGCCATTGCTACGTGGTGGTGTGGAAGGGAAAGCACAGAAATTGTACGACAGAAAGGCTCTGTCTTTCAGCCAGCGCAAGGCCGGTGAGGCCTGGTGGCGAGCTTGGCATGACCACCGGGGACGAAGCGTTCACGAAAGCTTAGGTGACACCATCGTCGAGACTTTTGGGCTGGAAATGGACGACTTCAACGCGAACGTTTCTGCGTCATCGTATGGACAGCAGATCTTGCGACGAAGCATCCAAGAACATCGCGTCATGTATGTTTGGAATGCGTACGTGGAGCCGTTTGTCTTCCAGAATGAACAAGTCAGCGGTATCTACTTTCTGGAGCAATGCTACGTGTGCATCAAGTCTGAAGGTGGCAATTTAATCAGTGGCGTAGACGAATCTTCGTCCAGAATTTCTACCAGCTACACCATCACACCTTACTTCTTAACGTCGGAGTTGCGGAAGGACCCAAGGGCAAGAACTCTTGTCGACTTCTTCGTGAGCTCCACTATAAAGTCACGCAGCGAAAATGACGAGAACCTTCTACTCGACCAAGCGCTGGAGAATTTCAACTCTGGATAGAAAGCTACCTGAATTTTTAAAATACACATTTCTTTTTCATCAATTGTGTTTGACACACATAATATGTTATTTTACATTTCGTCACTCTCGCAGAGGCCCTTGCCTTCTTGATGGTGAAGTGGACGACACTGGTGATGAGGGGGTGATTTCATCGCTTGGTAGTGATGAATTGGATCCTTATATACTTTTCGAGGCGCTGGAGGGAGAAGACTGTGTACCAATTGATGGTCAACCAATTTCGGCTACTATTGCGGTTGCTCAGCAAGAAAATGTAGCACAAGGGAAGACAAAGCGGAGAAGACGGAAACAACTGAAGCCGAATAAAGCTCGTGAAGAGCGTCGCTACCAGGTGGCACAATTGCGAAAGGAGGCGGAGGACTTAAAGCTGACATTAAAGCAGTGGCAGGAAATCCGAAGTAAGCCGACACCTCCCGCAAGTTTGGACAAGACGAATGGATCCGGTGCCAACCATACAGTCATGAGCACTGTCCCTGTTGTGTGGGAAGATATTTGTAAGAATCAACTTCGTCGACGACTCAAAGCTGAGCGTGAAAATATCCGGCTTAAGAACCAATACAAGGATGAAATGCAAGTCATTGTGAAGATTAAGAAGCTGTTATTCAAGCGAACAATCAAGCAGAATGCGACCCAGAGCGATGTCACGAAGCATATTCGCCGCACGAATCTCCCACCCGGATACATCAAGCGAATGGCTGCAGCGCTCTTCGAAGAGCTCTCTGCAGGCATCGAAGTGTGCTACCTATTGGAGGAACCCGCACTTGGAACACAGTCGTTTATCCCTGCTACTATGCCATTGTTACGTGGCGGAGTGAAGGGCGAAGCAAGAACGCTATTTGATAGAAGAACTTTACCTTTCAATATACACGCTACGGGTGAGGCTTGGTGGCGAGACTGGCACTGTTATAGAGGCCATAAAGGGGAGAATCCAGGCAGCGTGGTCGTGGAGAGCTTCGGATTGGAAATGAACGACTTCAAAACCAATACTTCAGTCACATCCTACGGGCAACAGATCTTACGGCGGGATGTGGAAGGCGACCGTGTTGTGTTCGTCTGGAATGCCTATTTGGAGCCATTTATATTCGAGAATGAACAAGTCGGTGGGATTTATTTCCTGGAGCAATGTCACATGATCATTAAACCAGAGGAAGAGAGCAGTGAAGACAAACTCGCTTCGTGCATGTCAAGTTGCTACGTCATCACACCGTACTTCTTGGACTCAACTTTGAGGAGCGACCCTAGAGCTGCAGCGCTGATTGATTTCTTGGTGGGCGCGTTATTCGCGAACATGAAGGCTCACAACGATATGGTGGAGGATTTACTGCTGGACCAAGTCTTGCAGCACAAGTGATGTAATCAGGACCATTTTTTTTAGTGAAAGCTCACATTTTCGTGAACGCTGAAGATTCACTTCAATAAAGTATGAAATACAAAGCAGACGTTAAAAAGTGAAAAAAGGAAGGCATTTTGCCCACTTTCATTTGTCCGCGGTATTGTGCGCTCAATTCGAAATTTCCACGATCAACGCAGAAATTCCAAATTGTAAGAAATTAAAAATTGGAAACTGATTTTTTCTTATAAAAATATTTACTGTCGTATTTTTTGTGAAATAGTAGTAGCTGATCATATTGAATTACTTTACGATTTTTCTCTACCTGGCTGCCTGCCAACAATATTCAAACATGACCTCACCGTTTGCGCCATGAGCTGAAGCCTTTTCACTTCGGCATTCACTCCTAAAATTGTCCTTAAGCGCAAACACCTCATTACCCTAGCAGCTACTACGCATTCACAATGCGCGTCTTTGCCACGTCCCGCCCCAGCCCGACTTTCTCGAATAAGCAAGTCGCCCGCTTCTTCTTTTCGCCTGCCCTGGACGGTCTAGGAGAGCCGACAGCTGCAAGACGTGCGGCGAGTATACCCCTCCGACTGGACATACCAATTTGATGCCTCTTGTCCGAGAGAGCCACCCCCATCTGGAGGACGAGCTGCGTGGCACAAGTGCCGCGGCTACGGAAACTCTCGTTCCGTGAGTAGCTTAGTAGACAACCAACCGGTTCGGCTGGGTGCGGTGGATTGTCACGTGTAACCTCCCGTTCTCGATTTGTGAGTCGGAGGAGACTCGCAGGAAAGCTAATGTTTCGTTTTTCTGGTTGTCTATAGCTATTCAAACTTGTGCCTGTCATCTCTAGGTTGACAAACTTGCCTCCAATCTCCGTAGTCGCTCTGTACGGTGATACGGAGAAAGTAGTGAAAGCTACCGAGAAAACTATAGGCGAAGAGACACCTAAGGAGTTCGATCTTATTTTGGACGGTTGGACCCATAGCAACGAGCACTATCTCGTAGCGTTTGTGTGCTATAAAGGGTCCGGTATCCACCCCTATCGATGGCTTCGGTCATAGACGGGGCGGGCGACGCGCTGAGCGCTGACGGTCACACCGCCGCGATAAGGCGGTTTCTCCCGTCTTTTGAACGGGCGTGTTGTTTTCAGTGGGCTACATTGTGCAGGCAACAAATGGTTGGTTTGTCTCATGAACGTGCCGCGCATCGGCTGCGCAAGCCACCGTCTCAATCTGGCGGCTCGTGCGCACCTCACATCCCACGAAGATGATCTGAAAAAGCTGCAATCTCTCATGCGTAAACTGCGCACACTTCAGCAAGCGGCCAAGCTTTGGTACGAATACTACTGTCCTTAATACTCATATGCATTAATTGTTTACATTACTAGCATTATGTGTTATTTTACTTTGGCCAAACAACCGCACTGCAGCCTGTCCTACGTCAAGACACACGCTGGTCGTCCACGTTTTCCATGCACTCGCGCTATTTCTGCCTCTACGAGCATCTATCTCCCGACGACGACGGCCTGGGGGAATTCATCCCTTCGCGCTTCGCACACCGTAGCCTCTGTCAGCAAATTAAAATGCCGACGGATGGACTATGTTGGACGCCCGAGTACTACTTGACGGACTATTTGAAATGGAGTCGACGTTCAGGGGCTACATCGGTAATGTTTGCTAAAGCTGACGATATTATTTAATAATATTTGCTGAATATAGCTCCTGATGCCGTCGTTGTGCACTCGCCCAAACTCGGGTCGGCGGTTGTGAAGGTATTGGGCGACAAAGCTACACGTTTAGCTGCTGCGGAGAAGACTGCGCTGCAGCCGTTTCGACGTGGGTCGCCCGTGATGTCTCCTGCTCTCGAGCGACAAGACACAAGCGCATCGTAAAATGACAAAAGCCGACGCAGCACCCAACACGTATACATTGCTGGCATCAATTTCACCAGGGTCGAGCGCTGCGGAGCGCCTGTTCAGCTCGGTACGAGCTGTCTTGTGCCATGAGCGCCACCGTACCCCGCCCATGACACTCGAGATGATCTTATTTTTGAGAGCCAACAGCGCGTACTGGAACGTTGCCACTGTTTATGCTTGTTTGCAGAACATAAGCTGATTTGCATACTCCTCTCTTTGAATTAACCAACTGTTTATTGCAGCTTAAGTGCATACCGGTATTCAATTATCAATTCTGCCGACTGAGATGCAGGCCAAGCGCTATGTATTTGCTGGGGAGCATGCAGTTGATGAATGGTGTATTTTCAAAATCCCTGGTGACACATCCGGCCAAACGCGCGCTCAATCGCATAAGCCCGTCTTACAGAATAGAACTCTGGTTTCAGTGGCAACCATCACTCGGACGTGCGCACGCACTTTAAAGGACGGAGCATGCATACATGTTTGGTATTTTATGTTTCAATAGGATGACCTAAGATCGCAATGTGAACATCTCATAGCGTCGTGTTGGTTAGTTATAGATTGCTGCCTTTCTCCAACTCACCCTCCATCGACAGTTTTGGACGGAATTGACGTCTAGTGATATAGGAGGAGGAGAGCTGAAATTTATCATTATGGCGGTAGCAGAACGGCGCCGACTGAAATTAAACTAAGCGTTTTAATTGGATATCCGAGATTCGTGCATGGTATCGTTTTTGTTGCTTTAAGCTTCCAGGCCTCCGTTCATAGAATGGTGGTCTGAGCTGTTCTGAGGTCTAGAGCCGAATTCCCCTGACCAATCTCAGTAATGGGTACAATAACAACAACGGATACAACAGCGACTGCTGGCTTCGCATTTGTGAGCGCTAGCGTCGATGTGGCACTAGCGGTCGTCACAGATACGCGAGCCCTTGCGAATGAGCGCGAAAATGTATCGGCATTACACTAGAAAGGGCTCTGAAGGCCCCTAACACGAGGTGGTTTAACAAGATGCTGTGTTGTGATCGCTCCTATTTTCTTGTCATCACCCAAGCAATCACAGCGACTAGGTCAGTCAAACCGCATCATAATTCTTAGTTCTTGATACAAGGCACCGCCCTGCTCGACGGAATAGCTCTTGATCGTGACTATTTGGCACTTTTAGGCGTCGATGTGCCACGAGTAGCGGCGGCGTTCACCACGGTATCACCGTTGACGGCGGTGTTAGACAGTTTGATATCGAGACCTGGGGAGGTCGGTGACGCAAAAGTCGGCGCTTCATTCTGCTTGGGTGTCCCCTCTGCGACGCTGCCAGGGCATGCTGCAGCAGGGGCTTCGTCGGTGATCTAGGGCGAAGTGGCAGCATATCCTATGTGGTTCACGGTTTGTGATACTCTGAAAAATGTCGCCCGGCAAACGTTAGAATGTACTTGGGAACGCCGGGGCGTCGCTTAATTTTATCATAGCCTTTATTTTTACGACGTCCGTCTCAATACTTGGACCAGGGCCTTAGGTCCTAAAGAGGGACATTTTTGCCCTTTGGTTTGGCCACAGCATCTCCACCACCACCACCACCACCCTTTTTGCCTTTTATTTTACGTTTCAGATTGGTTTTAAAAAGGCTTCACAGTTGCTGAGAACCAAATATTATACGTAATGCCACCAAATTAGACCACCGACTGCCAGTAAGTCTCACATTACTGAGCACTACAGCGATCAAAACGTACCGTCCCGTGACCATTCAAAAAACGCGCCATAGCGTGATAGCTGCATTACGCACTCGAGAAACATTCACGTATATGCATGCTTACAAATGCGGTGAAGATAGTCGCAAGCGTGCGCTGTATTAAAAAGCACACACATATACCGTGTGGGATCTGTGGAAAAAATCATTTGTGTACACGCAAGCATCACTTTTCCACATCAATCTACCAGTATGCATTTGGGAGCAAAGCGTTCGCTCATTAATGCAACCAGTCTCACTGAAGACCACTTGATAGGCCAGATGAGGCGGCCCCTTGCGTGAAATGTCGAGTTGGTGGTGCGGGTAGCTCTGCTTCATAAACACATACACGTACAGTATGAGAATGCGTCCGCATCCAGGATACGAGCGTCGGAAGGCTCCGGCCTAGAAAAGGGAAAGGCTACGCGATGCTGTGGAACTCGCATCAGAAAGCCACGAGAACTGTGAATGCTTCTGTCAGGTAAGCCTGCATTACGGTTCTGAAGAATCGGACCAAGTTCTGGTTGCTCCGGAACTGAAGGGTGATCACACCGGTGCCATTTCGGACTGTTTGCAGTATGGTAACCACCCCGCAATAAAAATCTGAAGCTGATGCCTTGGCTTCCAGTAATGTAGAGCCAAAGAAGACCATAAATCTATTGATGTTGAAATTGCTTTGCAGCAAAATATTCGAAAGCCAATACCAAAAAAAGCTAAGGTGAAGAGCCGAAAATACTTCTCGCTTTAGGATCTCGAAAGTGCGTCGAGACTTACGTGGATTTGAATGAATCGTGCCACCTACGCCTTTGCATAATCATAGCCTTTCTAGATCAGGCGGATTTGATTACGGCAGTGATTCTGCTACTTTATCGTCGTCTTTTTTTTCTTTCGGAACAAAGTACCAGCTTCATCACACAAACCAGGAGGGCAGCGAGACATGTATGAGTTTTGGGATAGTATTGACGTCTCACCATATATTCATTAACGTGATGTATGCAGCTAAAGAACACATGTCTGACGGAGTGTTCATCGCTGCAGATGGAACCTATCGATTTCAGAACGATAAGTGGGGCTGCTTAGCGACTTAGGCGGCCTCCCGTAACAATTTTCTCATTCCTACTGACATTTTATGAAACTGGCTATGTATGTGATAGGAACGAACGGGCCACGATACCGGAAGTGAAACTACATCAAAACCTTCGTACCCTGGGGGCACATGCTTATACGCACTGAGCAGAGTTCGCATTCGAAAAGCTCTTCAAGAGATTTGTCGACTTTGCTCGGCTACTCTTTGAAATGCAGCTCACTGTTGCATTGGGTGGTTTAGATCATTCCGCAGCCGTTTGTTGCAGTTTGGTTCAATATCATTCTACGCGCATATATCACAATAATGCGGTGCTGCGCAGGAGAGCGTTCTTTGATACAAACATCGAAATACGTGTAATGTAGATGCATCGCACGCAACCCCCAGGACAGCTCAAGGCAATGTGGCTGCTGTGCCGGCAATACAGCGGCGGATAGAATCTAACTACCACCTGCAGGTGCTAAATTATTAGCTCTTATTTTTATATTAGATTTTAAAGGTTTGAAATTCAACTACGATCTAGCCGTATATTATCCGCAAAATAAAGATGCAGCTGGATTTTGCTAATACGTAGCTAGAAGCGTTTTGTGAAATGCCTTCGTGACCGTGATGGGATTAACCATCTCCCAAGTTTCGATGGCTCAGTAAATAGTACCTAGTCGTTTCTCCTTTGCAGTCTTCTTCTTTTATTTCTTGCCCGGGGGTAGAGGTGTTGGCCTTTCTATCAGCCAGTGTTTCTTCTGCATGACCTTCAAAAGGCCATAGTACCCACATCTAAAGGCTGGTAGACCGACGCTCCATTTTTTGAAAACGCTTTTAGAGTTGATCCCAGTTCATCGGGCACGATAACGTCGGCCTTTGCTGAAACGTGACAGTCTTGGTTGTCTAAGAGAAGAACGGATCCTGTTGACAAATTTTGTGCGAGTAAATTACGTAGATATAGCTCCCACACACGTGAGTCCATTCACGCTTTCTTCTGAGCCGTGTAGATTGGCCTGTACATATATATTTCTCTATCAACGCTAAAATTCTAATAAAAGACTTGCTTATGCGTGCCTTTGGATAAGTATCGAGCTCTTTCTGCTCGATTTTACCACCAGGTTGAGCTCGAACAATAAACAACAGTGGTAACTTTGTACCGTCCGCACGATTTGTGTACACCGCTGTGAATCTGGCGAAAATCTTCTGCTCGGCGGTGATGGAGGCTGATTTACCTGTTTCCCGAGAACATATCTGATGGAGGACTGTCGTAGTAGATTCCCGTTTCATCGGTGTTGTAGACTAGACTTGTACCCCAAGAACCATATTGCGTGATGAATGTTTTCGCGAGCTCGTCTGGAACAGCTAAAAGGTCTTGCCGTTCTTCTCCAACACAATTTACAGCTAGATCATCAAAACACACAAATTAAGAGCCCTAATACACAGTTAACGACACAAATTACGCTTCAATGTCCACATTTACAGTTTGTGAGCATGTTTACCTTTAACTCACTTGGCGTTCGCTGGCCAAACCCGTGTCGGTAGGCAAAGCGTTGAAGTAGCCTCAGTAGTGACTCGTATTCCATAGTAATGCTTTTCTTGCCCTCGAAGCACGTAGTCATTTATTTTACTAAAAGAAAGTAAGAAGAAGCAGATTTAATGTTGTGTGTGTACCCAGCGTTTTCTGCCAAAGGCTCGAGCGCGCAACAGTGAGCTCCCTACATACATTAGCGGTATCATCACCATCGTCATTTAGCAGCTCAACATGCCTTCGGAAACGATCTTGACTGACCAACGATCTTACGATCGAGCGTGGTCTACAAAGAAATTCTGACTTCGGTGAATCCGGTTTGTTTTTGTTACACTAATACCATTTTTGCGGTCGCTTATCATTTGGATTTCCGAGCGGCATGCTTTTTGTCCGGGTCAAAGCATAACACATTCTGCATTTTGCGTTCACCAGCAACAACTACTTCAGCAAATCTCTCAAACGCTTATGTGTCAAGCTACAAACCAGTTTGCACAGCTCGCAAATTGTGTGCACGCTTTACGCATCTTGCTCGAAACCGAGCCAGTTGTTTCGAGATACTTCATCAGCGCTGACAAGCTCTACGAAAACATTGCGAAATGTGCAAACGAGTTGCGTGTCGGCCCATCCAAAGCACGCAACGATATCATGGCCGTGATCAACGCGTGGAAACAAGCTGCAGACAAAAAGATTTCCGATTACGGCGCGATCACTGTCGGTAACCACGCAGCTGGTGTCGCTGCGAGTGCAGTCCGATCGTGGGACAGGTCATTCTCTTGGGCCACATCATCTCTCATGCCGCATGTGGGCCAGAAATTGAGAGGAGACGTGAGGCCGTGAAAACGCACTTTGACGAAGCTACTAAGGTGTTACAAGGGCTTGAGTATATCCGTGGGGCGATGTTTATTGTGACATCGGTCGGCAATCTTCCTCGAGGCAAAAAGCGCTACGACGAAATCGGCCCTGGGATCTTTGGACTCGTAAATCTACTGGCTCAACAAAAGCAGCACTGGAGCGCGGGTCTTGTCAAGGAGCAGATCGAAGCTATCAGCGAGATTTCACCGAGGAAAATGCCAGGGTTATCACCGTGGAAGGCGACCAACGGCACATTCAAACTCGACTTGGAACGCATTGCCGACTCCGTGCGCCTTTCGCAGCTTTCGCTGTCCATTATGTATCTCGGTCGGGGCATTCTAGTTGATCAGCTCGCCAAGTTTTGCGTCACCATTCGCGTTGTCCGAACAACCCGCGAGCTTACGATTCGTTACGGCGGGTCTATCACGAAAGGCATTGTGGTATGTGCTAGAATCATAGCTGTCATTTCGGTTGTTGTGAGTAGCCTTGAGCTTGCAAACTCCCTGAAGACTCAAAACAACCGGGTCGACAACGCCAGTGAGACCAAGCGCAAGCTGGAGAAGGTCGCGAACGAAATTGTGGATGTGATGGAATCGCTGCGGCCTTAGTGAGCTGTACATGGCTGGGTTGTATGTTAGAGGTTTTCAAAAAGGCGACGAGAAAATACAAAAAAGCAGATAATAAAAAAAAACAGCTCAAAACTGGCGCACGAACTGTTGCATCCACTTTAAACTTGTATCAATGCCAGTGCTACCTACGTAGTAGAATCAAATTGACTTCAAAATTGTTACTGAAAGTGAAAAAAAAAAATTTTTTAAATCTGCTAGTAATTACAAACATGCCTTTTTACTTCTTTTGGTGGTTGATAAATCGCAGTGCGAGTAGTGCGAGGAGCCGTAGCACCAACATCATGACGAAGTTGATCAGCATGTAGTAGCGAATATCGTCGTGTCGGATATCAAACACGATGTCCAGGTAGCTTCGAATTGGAATTCTGCCCACAGCTTGAGGTGCGTTCTCCAGAATCTGGCAACCTCTCGGGAATTCGGTCATGTCCACTGACACACCCGTTTTTAAAGACTGGGTCACTTGCGTATAGTCTTCATCCGGACAATTGCCAAAGAGTAGTGCAGTGAAGAGCATGAGAGAGTAGCGCTGTGGAGTGATATCGAAGAGCCACCTGTAGCCTTGTGGGATGGCACTAGCTGGTGGGTTGAAACCCATGAAGAGAACGAAGATGGAGTTGAAGAGAACGCCCAGCAACGCCGCAACCTCCATACTCGGCATAGCAAACGACAGCAGTTGACCTAAGTAGATCTGGCACAGTACGTGGAGAGTCAGGTTTAGCCAGTAGAAAGCGAGGTCTCCGATGTCAGTGAAGCCTGCTAGAGGCAAGCAGGTTACAGTGAAGATCAGACTTGATACGAGTACATACGGGATCTCAGCGAGCGTAAAACCCAGGAAATACCAGAAGGAATTGTAACTCTGCGACGCTCGTTCGCGATAGAATGAAGCGCGTTGCTCCGAAGTCACTGGCACAGCGCTATTCAGTGATACGATACCGAGGAATGCGGTGGTGCAGAAGATCATCCCGAGTCCGCTGTTTACTTCCTGGTACGTCGTATAGTTGGCGTCAACAAATACCAGTCCGAAAAGAAGTCCCATGACAGTATACACCACTATACGTGTCCAGTTATACGTCGGTATGCGCCAGTACATCCGGAAGAAACGTTGAGTAACCATGTGCAGCTGTGTCACGTTACTGGCTGCACGTTTGTTGGTAAAGGAGAGTTCGTCTTGGCCCGACACCGGCACAGCCACGCCTTCCTTACTCAAGTTCCGGTTCAACGTGGTTTTGAGACTACTATCGTGAAATTCCTGAACAAAATTCACATTCATGTCGACAGAGTGGTCCACACCAGCACCAATAACCTCCAGCATCCACGTAGCTGGGTTATATTCATCTGGGAGCTTGGGTACGTGAGGGATACCCTCAAAGTAGTCGATGAGGTTACGGCAACGATCACCGAGATCGCCGTAAAATACCGTCTCGCCCCCTTGCTTAAGTAGCAGTAGACTATCAAAAAGCATGAAGACTTCAGTGGACGGCTGGTGGATCGTACACAGGATAGTTCTTCCGGTATTAGCCACCTTCCGTACCCCGTCCATAATGACTTTAGCCGCACGAGCGTCCAGTCCACTAGTCGGTTCATCGAGGAAGAGGACACTCGGCTGAGCTGCGAGTTCCACGCCAATAGTTAAGCGCTGCAACTGCTCCACTGAGCAACCACGTACACATCGATCAGCGATCGAATCCAACTCGAGAAGCTCCAGACATTCCGTCACGGAATCATACTTGCTTTCAGATGATACGTCGCTACCTTGACGTAAGAATGCACTGAGCGTCAAGGCCTCCAGAATCGTAGCCGAGTCTGCGTGAACATCGATCTGCTCGCAGTACCCCGTGCAACGTCTGATCGCCAAGTCCGTAGCGGGAAAGCCGTTCAACAAGATCTCGCCTCGAACTTTTCCCCCTGTTTTCCGACCAGCAATCACGTCCATTAGCGTCGTCTTGCCAGCTCCAGTTGCACCCATAAGTGCTGTCATTTGGCCTGGAAGTGCGTACCCTGATACACCCTTTAGTAACTCGATAGAGTCGGTCTTGGTTCGTGGGTTCGGGACTGTGTACCACAAGTCTCGGAACGCTACCGTAACGGGTACAAAGTTCTTTTCTCGAGTCGACAACAATACCGATATTTCACCTCGTATTTTACCTTCTTGGGCCTTTGGTGTTGTCAGTTGAACGTAGTCGGTTGTCAGCTTCTTCTTAGGTGCCACGAGGGTTGTCGGTGTCTCGATACGGTTGAATTCTAACGCTCGATAAGCGAGGAACATGCAGAGGAAGTAGATAACAAGGTTAAAGACAATTCCGTACCCGATCCAAGCTCGCTCCGTCTGGATATCGTAGAACTTCAAGTAATATTCGCCCATAGTCATCCCGTATTCAGCGCAGTAATCGGTGCCGTTCATAGTCACCACACACTGATCGAACTCGTCATGACGATACTGACTAACAGCCAGACTGCGAAGTCCCCACGAGATGGGGTCGAGCCAGTAGATCCAGATGAACCAGGTCGGGATCTTCGTCCGGATAACTACGAAGCCCGAAAATAAGATCGAAATTAACAGCGATACCATCGCTAACGGCTTGGCTACATGGACATCCACCGTGACGCACGAAACGTAGAAGAAAAAGGCCGAGAAGGCCAAATTGGTCAAGAACAGCAACAACTCGAACAAAATATACGCCCCCGCAGTCTGCACGAAGCCACACAACCAGTACACCAATGTCCCGAATACAAGACTCTCCACCAACGTCATAGGGATCTGACTGACACTCATGGAGACCACGTAACTCGCTGTACGGTAAAAATTAGCGCGTCGTTGCTTGTAGAATACGTCGCGCGCTGCGAAATAAACCGGGAGCATGGGGGTCTGCGCTAGAGCGAGGTACATGATGGAGAAGAAAATGATGCCCATCACCACCTGAACGTCTTCAAAGTCGAACTGATAGAAGACACTAGCGTAGAGAAGACCCATGAGAACGAGCAGTACCGCCTTACCGCGAAGAAACGCCTTGTTCCGGACTGTCACTAGCAGCTGACGTCGCATGAGCGTCCAGGTACTAGTCCAGAAAGACTGGTGGAATTCCGGTAAGAGTTTCAGGTAAGCTTCCATATCTTCAAGTAGACCTGGAGACACCGGAGTGTACAGCTCCGTTAGCGTCGCAATACGAATCTCCGAGTGTGCGAACGATTCGGCGAACTCGACGGGTTGCTGTGGATGCGTCTTGCCGTGTAGATTGACTTGGTATTTGTATTGTTCGTCACTGCAGAGATCCACTAGAAATTCGGCGATGTCACGACGTGGAGGGCATTCAAACCCAAGACCTTTGAAGTATTCAACGACTTGATTGCGCGGACCATGATAGAGGACTTCTCCATCGTTCAGAAGAAGGATGTTGTCGAACAGAGCGAAGACTTCGGGGGATGGTTGCAGTAGCGAGATGACGACGGTCTTCTGGCGTTTCTTGGCGACGCTACGGTGCATGTTGATGATGTCAAACGTAGCGGCACTATCCAGTCCAGTGCTGATCTCGTCCATCATACACACGACCTTGTTGCCAAACTCCATCTCTCCCGTTGTCAGGCGCTTCTTCTCGCCACCCGAGATACCTCGTATCATATTGTCACCCACAAGAGTATTCTGACAAACTTGAAGACCAAGTTGTTGGATGACGATGGTGGGGTAGTTGTTGGATATGGCTCGAGCTACCAGAGCAGCTTGATTACGTTCTGGTATTCCATCATTAAGACGTTGTGGGCCGCTGAAGGCGTGAGCAAACTCGAGCGTCTCACGTACGGACAGCATGGGGAAATGCTGATCCGTTTGCCCTACGTACGAGACGAGTTGCGGCAGCTGAGGTAGTAGCTCTTTGTGTGGCATGCCGTTGTAGGTGATGTCACCCTGTAGCATGACGTTCTTGTCCATAGGGAACCTTCCACTCAGCACCTTCATGAGAGCCGATTTGCCAGACCCAGGTTGTCCGAGCACAAGTGTCATAGTTCCGGGCTTGAAGACGCCGCTGATATTTTTCAAGATCTCTCGACGTGTCGTTATCTTCTTGGAGCAACAGCTGCCATAGCGATGTTTGACGTAGTTGGTGATGGTCGGGAGCTCCGCCTTCTCGTCGGTATCAACCTCCACCATGTCTGCACTTAGCGTGAGGTTCTTAAAGCGGATCTCCACTTGCATCGGTGTTGGCTCTTCGAATGGCATTGAGCTTGTTATTGTTGGGGGAGCTTCACTTTGACAAGGTGAATTGGAAAGTGACGTTGGCAGAGGACCAAGAAACTCAACAAACTTAGCGGAACGCATCGAACACGGTTGGAATTGCCTGCAGATTGAGGACCACAAAGCGGTGCGAGGAGGTCGTTGCACGTTGTGCCACTACTGAGTAGGTCAGGCGAGCGTACCCATCCGCACCGTCACATTGTCGATTGGCGAGAAAGATGGACCTCTCGACTCATCTCCTCAACACCTTGAAGTGGGACACCCAAAGATGACCAGAGGTGAAGTCATCGAGTTGGTCAACGACTGTGGACCACACAATTGCTATCTAGAGGCATGCAATTCCTGTATCGTACAGTACACGATGAAATTAACTGCGCATCACTTACAGAGGCTACGTTTTTGCAGAGCTTGATCCAGCAGTAGGTCCTCGACCATATCGTTATGGGCCTTCATATGGAAGAACAGTGCGCCCACCAAGAAATCGACGAGAGCTGCTGCTCTTGGGTCACTCTGTAGAGCTGCATCCATAAAATACGGCGTGACAGCATAACAGCTTGACATGCATGAGGAAACCTCGTCTCCATTGTCCTCATCTTCCGGCTTGATGATCAAGTGGCATTGCTCCAAGAAGTAAATGCCGCCGACTTGTTCATTGTCGAATAGAAACGGCTCGAGATACGCGTTCCAGACGTACACGATGCGGTCCGGTTCCACATCTCGCCGTACTATTTGCTGTCCGTAAGATGTGACAGAAGTATTGGCCTTGCAGTCCTTCATCTCCACTCCAAAACACTCCACAACCACGTTAGTGGAGATCTCCTCCTTGTGGCCTCTGTAGTTGTGCAAGTATCGCCACCAAGCCTCGCCAGTGGCATGCGCACCGAAAGGTAGCACCCTTCGATCGAAGAGTGTCATCTCTTCACCCTGCACTCCTCCACGTAACAGTGGCATTCGAGATGCCATACTGGGAGGAATACAAGTGTTCGTGCCAAGTACTGACTCGTCCAAGAGATAACAGACTTCGAGACCCGCGGAAAGTTCTTCGAAAAGAGCTGCCGCGATACGTTTCATGTATCCTGGTGGGAGATTCGTACGGCGGACATGTCTGACAGCCTCGGGCTGGGTCGCATTCCGCTGGATAAGTCGTTAGTATAGCAGCTTTTCAACCTTCTTAGCGACTTGCATTTCTTCGTCGTACTGACTCTTTAGGCGAGTATTTTCTCGTTCAGCTTTAAGTCGCCGACAGAGTTGATTCTTACATATCTCCTCCCACACAGCAGGAGCTGCGTCCACAGTTTTATCGATCGTTGTACCGGATTGTTCAGTGATGTCCCGTCCGCCGGAAGGTCTCCGCTGGCTTCGAATTTCCAGCCACTGCTTCAGTGTCAGCTCCAAGTCCTCCACCTCCTTTCGTAGCTGTGTCAGCTGAAAGCGGCGCATATCGCGAGCGTTGTTCGACTTCAAACGCTTCCGCCTGGCCTTTTGCGCCTCGCTCGTGTGTATTCACAGCAGAAGGCGACGGCGATTGACCAAAAGGCGAACTACCAGGAGTAATGTCTCCAATACATTCGTCCAGCGTTTCTAGAAGGAAATACGGGTCCCATTCATCTGCATCTAACGATGAAATCACTCCCATTGTCGTCAGCTAAAAGCCGGACCTCTCCATGATGGAAAATTGAATTTTCGACGTAGTTAGTCGAATTTTTGCACAATTAGCTAAATGAAATCTTACCCCCCTAGTGGAGTGTGTTGTCCGTCTGTAACGTCCGTAACGGGCTAGGGTTAATAATCCTCACGCTAATACGCGCGTTCTACTGGCTGCCGAGCGCAGCGAAGGCGGCGTCGATTGGCTAAAAAGCTGCCGAGCGCAGCGAAGGCGGCCCCCATTGGCTAAAATCAACATTGTGTTTCTTACACATTATATGTGGTCTACACATCGTACTTAAAAGCACCGTTTAAATTTCATTTTGCTCTCATTTTCAGCTGCGGTTCGCAAGGCCACGCAAAGGTCGCTGCCTGTGTACGCGTTAGATAGCATTAGTATTAGGCGCTGATGAGCACACACGTACTGTATCGTCGTAGGAGCTGTTGAAAAAAAATGTAGGCTCTGGGGACTTTTATTTCGGCCTCAATCGAAACTTTAGTACTTATTGAATTTAGAATGCTGTTTTAGGCTTCGTAGTACTGCTGTACTAATTTAATTTACAGTATTATTTTCTTAGTACTATTATCAAGGCATTTCATATTTTTACTTGCAGTCATTTGTAGTAGTAGTACACATAAAAATTATATCAGCGTTTAATAATAAATAACAATTGTATTACTATTATTAATAATGTGAAAACTTTAAAATATGACTATTGTGGCTTACACCCCTGCACCTCCGTAATAAACTGTTGTCTTCCTTTGTATTTGCGCGCGTAGTGTGCGACCTTCAGATATTATGTGAACTTTCCAACAATATACGTTGTGTACATCAAACAAAATGGGAACAGCGTTTGTGATTAAGTTGGCGCGGATGCACATGTCTAAGCAAGGACACGAAACACGAAGGAATACCGACCTACACTATGTACACGATGGGATAGAAGAGCAACACGAAGCACGGAAGGCCATGGACGATGATAGAAGACTTAGCCGATGCAAACCACGAAGTTTTATAAGTAGCGTGAAAGATGAAAGAGCACGCAGCCATGAAAAGAACAGATGGATAGAACATGACAGGAACGTACGGGCCACGGAAGGGAACTTAATACATAGACACCCCAGCATGCTGAAAAGCACGGGCTACGGAAGAGCACGGACGTTCGAAGCCACGGTAGAACACGTATCGGTGAGAGTGCACAGAAACAATACTCCAACAACACCACGAGTAAACATGGAGCACAGTCAACCGACCAAATCTGAGCCCGCAGGAGGCCAGATACGGAAAATCAGAAATCATCAATTTTTGGAGCACGATGCCTAGGTAGAACATGAGCTCACCGATCCACGGAGCGCGACACTACGGTAGCTAACGATAACGGTAGAACACGTATCGGTGAGAGTGCACAGAAACAATACTCCAACAACACCACGAGTAAACATGGAGCACAGTCAACCGACCAAATCTGAGCCCGCAGGAGGCCAGATACGGAAAATCAGAAATCATCAATTTTTGGAGCACGATGCCTAGGTAGAACATGAGCTCACCGATCCACGGAGCGCGACACTACGGTAGCTAACGATAACACAGACGACAGCCCAGCCCCGACACCAGAGATAACACGACAGCATGGACGGTGGGTTATCCACTAAACCATCGGAGAACACGCTGCCACGCGAAATCACCGAGTCACGGAGCACCATACCAGTGTAGAACCTGAGCTTACCGAGCCACGGAGGACAGCAGTACATGATAACACGATTGCACGGACTGCGGACCGCCCACCAAATGCACAGGGGTGGGCTTGGTATGACCACGATTACACACCGTGGAGCACGATGGCATCGTAGAGCACGATAACACGGACAACGCAGATGCACTACACGTGCACAATACCATAGAAAGCATAACCACACCGCGATTGCACGATAGCGTGATACCGCGGTCGATGACACTTCATCAGGAGATCACGATGCACGGACGACGGAACCACACGACTGCATGGAGGCACCAAAGCACGGAATAGCACCCTTTGGTTAGAGTACCGGCGATGGGAGGCCAACGGCCACGAATGCCTATGTATCACGAAAGCGGTACAGCCCGCGTAAACGTTTGAGAGCAGAGAATAGCTAGGAGCCACGAAAGAGGCTGTACTAAAGTGCATAAGCTCAAAAGAGAGCGCATATCCACAAACAGCGTGGACCACGGGTGAACAGAGAGCCACGAAACCAAGTAGAACACGGAAGAGCACAGCCCAATGAAGAACACGACATTCAACCTGTAGTACGGGGTAACGGAAACGTACTAAACCACGATATTGTACAAAGCCACATGAGATTACGGATAGTTAAGTGGTTGACTACACGAAACCACGACGTACTAGGTTGAACGACGCCCACAAAGCACGCGACACCAAGAAGCACTATATTTGCGGCCACCTCATCTCCAACAAACCATGCCACTCCGCCGCGTAGCGGCGGCGAACGGCTAGTCTTACCCCCCTAGTGGAGTGTGCTCTGCGTCAGTCCGTCAGTCCGTCCGAGGGTAGGGTTCTATATTGTAACGCTAATGCGGGTGTTCTACTGGCTGCCGAGCGCAGCGAAGGCGGCCTCGATTCGCTAAAATTGCAATATGTGGTGTACACACTGTATGTGGTCAACACATCGTACTTAAATGCACCGTTCAAATTTCATTTTGCTTTCATTTCAGCTGCGGTATGCAAGGCCACGCGAAGGGCGCTGCCTGTGTACGCGTTAGTTAGCTGAATTAAAAGGCGCCGATGAGCACACACGTTCTCTATCGTCGTAGGTGCTGTTGATAAAATTTGTAGGCTTCGGTGACTCATACTTCGGCCTCAATCAAAACATTAGTACTTATTGGTTTAAATATGATTTGATTTGCTTCGTAGTAGGTTTGTAATAATTTAACTTAGAGTACTGTTTTGCGTAGTACTATTCTTAAGACATTTCATATTTTTGCTTGCAGTTATTTGTAGTAGTAGTCCACATAATTAATATGTTAACGTTTATAATAAATCACACCTCTACTACTACTATTAATAATTGATACTTTAGGATGTGAAAACTTTAAAATATGACTATTATGACTTCCCACCCGACACCCCCCTGCACCCCACACTGCCCCCGGGAAAAGTATCATCTTCCTCTGTATTTGCACACGACCTTAAGATATTGTGTGATCTTTCCAACAATATATGTTGTGTACATCAAACAGAATCGGAACAGCGTTTGTGATCAAGTTTGCGCGGAGGCACGCGACTCAGCAAGAACACGAAAAACGATGGGATAGAAGAGCAACACGAAGCACGGAACGTCGTGGACGATGATAGAAGATTTAGCCGATGCAAACCACGAAGTGTTTTACGTAGCGCGAAAGATGGACGTGCACGCAGCCATGAAAAGGACAGACGGACAAGAATATGACGGGAGCGTACGGGTCATAGAAGGGAACTTAATACGTAGACACCCCAGCATACCAGAATGCACGGGCTACGAAAGAGCACGCACGCTCGAAGCCACGGTAGAACACGTAATGGTAAGAGTGCACGGACAGAAATTCTCCCATAGCACCATGGTTGAACACGGAGCACAGTCGACTGACCAAACATGAAGCCGCCGAAGACCATTAACGGGAGGTTGTCGGGTATTGAAACAATATACCATGGTATAACCGGAGCTCACTGGGGAGCGCGATACTACGGTAGCGCACAACAAAATGGACGGCAGACCAGCGTCGACACCACAAAAAAAACGATGACTGGGACGGTGGCCAAGACACTAAGCCATGATAGAAATGCGGTCACTGGAGCTGTAGACGCGAAATCACCGAGCCACGGAGCATTATATCAGTGTAGAACCTGAGCTTACCGTGCCACGGAGGACAATAGCGCATTAGAATTCGATTGCACGGACGGCGGACCAGCCACGAAATGGAAGGGTGATCGGGGTGACCATGATTGTGGAGGACGATGCCGTTGTAGAGCACGATAACACGGGCAATGCAGATGCAATCCGTGAGCACAATACCATAGACAGCGAAACCATATCGCAATTACACGATGGCATTATAACGCGGTCGATGGAGTCTCACCACACGAGATCGATACACGGGTGCAACAACACGACTGCGTGGAGGCACCAAACCACGGAAAATCACCCTTCGGCTAGAGTACGGGCGATGGGAGGCGAACGGTCACGAAATACTGTGTACCAGGAAACCGGTGCAGCCCACGAAACGTTTGAGAGGTAGCGGCCACGAAAGACGCAGTACCTTAAAACATGAGCCCAAAAGAGAGAGCTCATAACCACTAAGCTGCGTGGGCCACGGGTGAGCAGGGAACCACGAAGCCAAGAAGAACACGGAAGAGTGCAGGCCATTGAAGAACATGACATCCAGCCTGTAGTACGGGGTAGCGGAAACGTTCCAAGCCCGATATTATACGGGGCCGAATGAGACTACGGAAAAGCAAGTGGTTAAATACACGATACCAAGATCTACTGGGGTGAACGACGCTAACAAAGTACGCGACACCAAGAAGCATCTAAATCTGCGGCCACCGCATCTCCAACAAACCATGCCACTCCGCCGCGTAGCGGCGGCGAACGGCTAGTCTTACCTCTCTAGTGGAGTGTGCTGTCTGTCCGTCTGTCTGTCACGGGCTAGGGTTAATTAATGTAACGCAAATGCGGGCATTCTACTGGCTGCCGAGCGCAGCGAAGGCGGCCTCGATTCGCTACAATTGCAATATGTGGTGTACACACTGTATGTGGTCAACACATCGTACTTAAATGCACCGTTCAAATTTCATTTTGCCCCCGTTTTTAGCGCTGGAGCGCCACCTCACGCAAAGGGCGCTGCGTGTGTGCGGGTTAATTTGCATTGGTAGGCTTCGCCGACGTGCACACCAGTACTATTATATCGTCGTAGGAGCTGTTGATTTTTTTAGACCCTGGCGACACCACTGGATCGCATTTTAGCAAAGTAGTAATTCAACACTTCGAAATACTTAGTTTAATACTTAAAAAATAATATTACTAATTTTATAAAAACGTTTCTAATAAAACATTTCTCCAATGGAACGTTTACCTCCCATGTGCTCGACGTGCCAGGCGGTCATTGTGCACCCCCCGCTCGAGCCAGACGGTCTCGGGCTGCAGCTCCGGCTGTGCGCCTGTTGCGAACAATTCTTAGCATGGGATGCATTCGCACAGGGCGAGGCTCG